AATCGGTGTATCGTCACTGAGAAACAGTTAATAATCACTAGTGATTATAGTATAGCACCGCAGGTCAGTAAATTTCGCCGCAAAAGTCTGTTAATTGAGCAGCAGCTGTTTCCATCTAGGAGAAATCTAATTGCAGTGAGAAAAAAAGTTATTTCCTTTTTATTATATCTTAAGGTATCGTCGGTGATTTTGCCTGAAATATAATTATGTTTAATTGATTTATATCATATGTGAAAAACACGCTTTTCCTGACTCGAATTCAAAACCACTACTTACGAACTACGCCAAATACGGCATATGGTGGAACGTATATATTTGTGCTAGCGATTTTTGCTAGCAATAAGAGCTAAGTGGAAGAGTTTCCATTAAAAATTAGTGAATATATTCACTATAATTATCGGTAGAATACTGTTCCATTAATTTCACTAGCGACCGATTCAACTTAAGAGAGTACTGATAAAAACATATTGATAAAATTAGTCATCTGAAGTCTCTCGTTTCTCCGATTCTCACAATTGATCACGTCGACTGCAGTACCTCGAGTGTAGCCCGACGAGATATTGCGTAATAACTGCTAAGACGCTCTTTAAAGTTGAATGTTATGTGCAAGCGGGTATACGTTTCACTGAAGAGATTTCATCTCGTGTTCTCAAGAGTTAGACCAACATCGGAGAAGGGTCTGAAGAGAACGTGTCCACCGAGTAGTTCTCTAAAGGAAGCTCTAATTGTACAAAGAGATTTGCACTAACTCCGCGATAAAGGAAGTCATATAAAATACACGTTAGAGAGCAAAAGAAGAAGTCCAGATAACTTTCGTATTGAAACATTCGCGCGTTTTTCTCTTCTTCCACGTTGACTTTTGTCACAAAAGCGACCCGGTCTAAATCCGCCGATTTCGCCGACCACGCCCGTTTTCTCGTTGCACCTGCAACGAGAGCGCAGACGCGTGGTGTGTCTATCCGTATAAGTACGCTAGTTTACTTTCTGTTTTTCGACCGGCCGGCCGACCGACTCTTACGTGAGCTTGTGGGACAGGATTTTTACGAAAGTCCCGCATGGACGAGAAAGTAAAGTGCACCTCGTTGTTCGCCCTCGAGGCAGTCGGCTGCCCCATTTTCCGACCTTACGTACGTTGCTGCAGCTGCGCTAATTTAACGGCCGAAATGAAGACTTCTTCGGCTGCCTGCAAATTGTTTGAACTTCTCTTTTCTTAGTTTAAATAAGATTCGCTGACGCTATTTTTTGCCCATATTTTTACGAAACTTCCGAATATCGCCTCAATTTGCTGTTTGTGCGTAAAAATGTTCTATTTCAAAAAATTACTTCAAAATTATTCACGATACCTCATGGTATCACACTGTGAGAATCGTGTTTATTCGAGACACTTTTTTACATTGAATGCATGGGTCAACGTTGTCTCGCACGATTGCCCCGTTTTCGAATCCACGACTTTACGCACGCCTGAACCTACACAAATAACTCCTCTATTTAATTTTCGATGTGCTTTTTAATCATCTATACCTATCAATACCGCAAGTTCGCGCGACAGATATGCCAATGAACCGAGGTATACCCCACGCTTTCACTTTTCCTACATTCACTTAACAAATGCTTTCGGGCAAACTTACCTTCACAGTTCGAACTGAGAGGAAAAGAAAAAGAGAAAAATTGTCATATCCTCGATCGATGGATAATCGATGAAATGAATTGAAGTAGTTAACAGCTGATAGAACGTACGTTCATTATTCTATATATCGATGAGAAATGGGGAACTATATGAGAGAGAACCGTTACACCAGCTGCGGGATGGAAAATGCAGCGCGGCATTTTTCACGGGAAATATCTTGAGGAGCGTTTTTCTTCAAAGTCGCTCGATAGATCTTCAGGACGATACAGCCCAGTTTCCAACTCTTGTGTATCCATAAAGGATATTAAAATACACGCTCAAAACAAAATCCATTTTGTTGATTCAAACAAAGTTTCGTTTGGATATGGACGAACAAATATTTTAGTTTAGAAAATCAAATTTTCGTCCTCACAACATTTGTTTGCCCATATTCAAGCCAAATTTGGTTCGAGTCAATTAAATGGGTTTTTCAATGTAGGAATCCACATGGTGTATGAAAATCCATGTAGGATTTGAACATTCACACGTTTATATGAGAATCCGCATGAATTGTTACCTGGAATTTTGGCGGCAACCGTAGGGGGATTCCACATGGGGATTCCCTATAGACCCCGCCTGGTTTTTCTCCAACAGGGTGGCGTTTTTATGCAAGCAACTTCTTATTTTGAGAGGAGAGGGAGAAGGGCGGAATATGTTGATCCAACACGCAATAATTTCCTTTTCCGGCAGAATTGCAGGACGAATCGTTGACTTCTCGCAATCGCATAGAAAAAAAGTGTGCGTATCGCGCGGCAGATTAAGTCTTGGCCTCCGAGAGTACGTTAAGAACACAAATCGGCGAGCTCTCTCCGTAAAGATTCTTAGTTTCGCTCGTGTGTGCGGCGGACTTATCTATGAAGACCGCGTAGATCCGAGATAAGAGCGCGGGATAATTATAAGGCGCGGATGAGTGAATGGAACGGTTACCGGAGCAATCGAAAGGCTAACGTCGTTACGATTGAGAGAACCTAACGAGATACGCCCGGAAGAAACGAGAGAAACTTTTTCGGGCTAATCGTCGATCTCTCCTCTTTTGTTAACGTACGATTCTTCGAGACGAGGAGGCATTATTACGCGCGTTCGTCCGCACATATCGAACAACGCGTACGCGTCGGGGAAATTGCATCCTTCATCGCGCTATCCCACGACGTACCGCATCGGGTCGCGTTAGAGTCGCTGATTTTTATACGAGAATTTCTGCAGTTGTCGATGTAGCATCGCTGCTTTTCTTCCCCACGGAAAAATTGCGCCACGGATTGCGAGTCGGCGGATCTCCCGCTCGTGTTCCTCCGCGAAGCCGGTCTTTTTCGTTTCGCGCTCAGAGCGGATTGACTTCTTCTACTTCCTCGGCACTCGCGTTTTTCCCCGAGATATTCCGCTCTCTCGGCATTTTTTGACAGACGCGAGAGATGTTTCTATGCCAACCTGTTTCCACGGGAAGCGATTAAGCGATTAAGTAGCCGCTCAGTGATTTTCCTATTAACATAAGTTTTATCTCGTCTCGAGACCTAAAACGGTAGAGTGGATTTTGTTTCTTATCTTTGACAGAAAGTTATCACTTATTTGTGACAGAAAGCAATTGTGTTGAAATTCACGACATGCGTGCTTGCGACGAAAATATTTTCTGGAAGATTAAAATTAATTGAATATGTGAATTCAAAGTGGAATGCGACGCTTATAATTGAATTTGTGTAAGGGATATCGTTAATCCTTCGTATGATTTTCGCTAAGACCGTGTGATCCGTGGGTAGAGAGAACCACTTCTCTCGTTATATATAAGTAAAAAAAAATGTTTTGACATTATTTCAGATCTATATAATAAATACAATTTTTATCTAAAAAATTCTTCACTTTGAATGAAATAAATATAAAATAATCAATCACAAATATAAATAAACTAACGGCAAGTCAAAATATAACACTAATTTAAGAAATAAAAAATTCTTATATTAATAAGTAAATTATGTTCATATATATTATGAGAAAAAGTACTCATACTTTTACAGAAAAGGATATCTATTACTAATATTACTTTTCACTAACGCCGTGTGATTCTTTTGGGAATACTCGTGACTTTACATGCTTGCAATTTCCCCCATAAATTGAATACCGCCGCGACTCTCTCCTTACTATCTATTTCCTTAAGTAGAAATTCCAGATCTCACTCTTGATTCAATCAAATTTTACAACCTATTCAAATTTGTATCGTTGCCCAAATGACTCACGCGAAGATTGAACTCTGCGGGCTTTTCCATTACAAGACTCGTATCTTCCCATCTCCTTGAAAGTACAGGACGAATAAATCACTACTTTGTTTGCGATAAAACAGGGAATCAAACCTATTAGCTTCTTCTTCCAGAGTCTTTCCTCACGCATCTCGTACGATTCGTCTCAACGAGACGACGTTATCTCCCCGATTTTATCTAAGGGGGCAGCGAATTTAAATTGCCGAACGATTCTTACCGCCAATTCACTTTCCCTGGAACGTGCCTCCCTTCCTCCTTCTTTCTTCCCTTCTACGGGTTTCTTCTACCTCCGCGGTCCCTGGGACTCGCGTCTCGAGAACGCGACGAGCAGCGAAGTTGAAGGTCGGCCCTTAGAATCGAAGCGACGTTTATTCAATAAATCGGCCCATTTCGCGTCGTGCGATAAATTCGCGAACGGAAAGGCCGCGTGTTTCCGCGTGAGATTAATATTTGGTAAACAATCTGAAGAAAGGAAGAACAATGGCGAGGGTCATTTTTACAAAGTCGCCGGCTGTTCTCGCGCGTCCTTCGTATCCAGGAAGTTGTTGACGGCTGATAGTGCCGGAGTCCATCAGAATGGTTCATCTGTAATTACCGATAGTCACTTATCATAATGTGTGCCGCAAATTACACGACACACACGGTAGCGAGTACATTCGGGCGTTTCTTGCGAGACGTTGTTACGGGACTTTAATTTCGTCGGGAAACGAATAATCGGCTGAAAAGAAAAACGAACGTATCGCGATAGGAAATTTATCATTAGCTCAGATTGTACAGTATTTACGATCGAAAGGATCGCGCTCCGTTTCTGCGAAGAAAGAACCGGGGGAATATTGACTATTATATGAAAAATGCACATGGTGAAACCACACTGTTAGACGAAAAAAAAAAAAAAAAGTGGAGAACAGTGACTCTTGTTTTAGAAAATGTGCAGAAACGCAATTGTGCGCGAATCCATGATTAACAGACACAGTTCGAGCTTCGTGTCCGCCGCTGGAAAAAGGAGGAGAGAAAAAAGAAGTGGTTTGGTTGGTTGGAACGGTACTGCGTCAGCCGTGTCGCTCAATTGCTTCGTTGCCTGGTTGCAGAACTACGACACCCTGAGCAAGGGCAAGAAGTCGTGGAGCGTGCGGCTGGGCCTGTCGCGGCAGCACCAGAGCCCGGATGACCCCGGCAAGGGCTGGGGCACCATAAGTGGCGGCAGCGTGATCTCCCGGCAGATGATCTACGGCGACCCGTGGCTGTACGGCACGGTGCGATCGTCCTCCGACCCGCGGCCCTTCCTCACGCCACCGCCGCCGCCGGGTGCGCCGTTGCTCGTCGTATGTTCCTGCCCGGAGTTCCTCGCCGGCACCGTCAGGAAGCTCGGCAGCTGCCGCAAGTGCGGCGGTCACCGACTGGCCGGGGTGCCGTTCGGCGGTACTTGCCGGTTGCCACCGTCCTCGAGGTCCCGGCCCAGCCTCGCCGGTAAGCCATACAATTCTCGAATGTTTCCGAGAAAAAGACAAATATTTCGCTGTAACTGTCCGTATAATACAACTGAAATTTCGTTAATTTAGCTCTTGTTTTTAGCTCCCACGGCTAAATTTCAGTTGTCTTTTTTCTTCTTCGTGTGAGAACAATGTGTCGAACGGAAATCTCTTTCATCCGGTCGTTAATCAAGTTTTTATCTTCCGAATATGTGGTTATTACCTCGCTTTGTCGGGAATGGAATTCTTCTTTTTGACGTGGCGTCTTTTCACGGATAGAATTCCCCTTTGAATTCTGCAAAGGATTGTGGGTTTTATTGAGGTCTTGGCTTTGGAATGAATTTATCGACGTCTGAAATCGATGAGCGAGGCCGGGATAGACGGGACATTCGTCGAGACGTGATGTTCATGCTCTAATTGCGAGCTCTTCGTATTAGAGATTTTCTCCTCGTTCGCGTGCAGAAAGTTCTCGGCCGCGGGGCTGGCTTTTTACTCGGCGATCACGCGTTTAGCTTGCATTTAAATCACACTTTAAGGCACGTTCGCTCGTGAAATGACGTTACGCGGGTGAAACGTTAGAAACGTGGAGTTAGCGATGCTCCGATTGATACTTTACACTCGGTTGCCCCCTGTGTCGGTACGAGGAGAGCTAAACTGTTCATTTTCTTTTGGTACCTATAATGAAAAGTAGAACATTGACGCCCGTTTAATGAAATCAAGTGAATATCAGGGACTGTTGATCCTTCGTTGGGCATATTTTGGTCCGGTGGAAAGAAAGAAAGCTTTCTCACGGAAATGAATTCGTCAGGCGTGCTGAGGGCCTCGATCGACGATCCTTACGACCAGATGCGGCGGAACCGGCTGGTCGAACCGAGATCGCGGGCCCGCAGCATCTCACCGCACCGCTCGTCGTCGCAGCGCGACTCCCGGAGTCAGAGCGTGATCGCGCGCGCCGCGAAGGAGCGGAAGGGCGAAGGCGAATGGTTCGAGCCGAGCACGGCGAGCTACGACGAGGCGGCCGCTACGACGGCCAGCTTGCGCAAATCGCGACCGGACGATTGGAGGAACGAGCGGACTCATTCGCGCGTCCCGAAGAAGCCGACGAGGAAGCAGTGGCAAGCGTCGGATCAGCGGCGGAGCGACGCCTCGGACTCCCGCAGGAGTATCCTCGAGTGCGACGTGAATCCGTATCTGTTGTTGAAGAAGCAGAAAGACGAGGACGACTTGAGCGATGATCTGTCGGACAACGCTCTGGAACAGGACGACCTCCGTGCGCCGTCCAGTCTGTTCGACCCGTCCAAGGTGAAGTCTATCGAAAGAATACCGAACAGAAGCGCCGTGGCGGCGATCGGCGGCCAACGGATCCGCGTGTTCAACGAGCCGCGGGAGATCTCGGACGACGACGACGACGTGCCGCCGGTCACCAGGATCCCGATACCGAAGGTCTCGCCGAAGAGACCGCCGAGGCGGCTGAAGGAAGCCCGGCAGACGCTCAAAAGCATCCTGAAGCGCGGCCGTGTGATCGAGAGCAAGCGGAAGAACGTCCTGTTCAACGTCGACAACGTGATATTTGCGCCCGAGAAACCGTCGGAGGCGACGCGGCTGTCGTGGAGCCGACTCGGCAGAATCGCTAATCGCGACAAAGAGCAACGGAACGAACGAGAGGAGGAAGCGCCGATCGTGCCGCAGGAACAGCAAGAGAAGCACAACTTCATCACGATCCCGAACATCAGGGATCCGAAGGTCGACAGGATCCGGCTGAAGGAGCCGAGGATCGTGCCGGAAGTGAAGCTCGACCGGATCAAGATAGACAAGTTTGTGCCGGCCAAGCAGGAGAACGGTGAAGTCGGGCAACGCGAGATCGCTGAGTCGCCGAACCCGAAGATCGAGCGGAAGAGGATAGAGGAGGAGAGGGTCGTCAGGCCCGAGGACGAGACCGAGCTGGAGATCGAGATCGAGGAGCTGAAGGACCGCGTCGCCGTCGACGAGAAGGACCTGATCTCCAAGTCCGAAGGTAAGAAGATTCTCACTCTATAGTTATATTTTCAATACTTATATATATATATATATATATATATATATCTCTTATTATTTCCTAGATCGAACGATTTTCAGCGTATTTTGCGCAATTTAAACGCGTCATTTTTCAATTCCCCCGCTACGTTTCTCCCCGCCGTCGATGATATGATATTAGCGTGGTGAATCGAACGTGCGTGTAATCCATTTGCTTCCGTAATTAGCGCCGGATTGCAATAACGACGTAACTCTGTTATTTCAGAGCCGCGTTGATAATTATCAATATACCGGAATGAGTTAACGATCAATTCGTCTATAACCGGTCCGCGGCGATGCGCTTTATGGTCGTTCGAGGGCTAATATCCCGCACGCGGAAATTGACGGTCTAAAAATACGGTCGCAGCGCGTATCGACAATCTCGCGTCGGCTCATCTTATCATCCTCCTCTGCTCTGGGCGATTATGCTAATACGCGTGATTAATGGGCCGTTCAGGTTGGCGCGACTTATCGGGCCATCCTTGAACTTTCGAGAAAAATTACGCGTTCAAGGATAACGGCTCTCCTCCTTCTCTAACGGTGCGCGAAATTCATGCGATAATCTCTTCTTCTCTTCCGATAGATAGAATGTAAATCACCATTAAACACGTGGATGATTCGGCGAGTTACGAAGGAAGTATTCCGATCTAGAGCGTGCCTGGGAATTTGGGAATTAAAAAAAAACAACTTGTTCACTAATTTCCAATCAACGAGCAATATGAGTTCCCTTTCAGATGCTCGCCGTTTCATACTCCTGCGAGGTCTTCATTTTCTCGGCAGACGTGCTTGAAAATGATGTTCGATCTCCATGAAATTTTCGCGTTTGATACTTTTCTCATCTATTTACGATATAGCGATGTTTGCTGTCGAGACAAAGATCAAATTTGTCCTACGGTCGTTTCAACACACAATATAAGAAAGAAATAGGCCTAAAAAGCTATTACCAGAACAGCCGGAGCGCATCATACGCCTGTAACTTGATTATTTTTCGGTAAAACCTTCATATTCTTTAAAGAGGAGAGGCATTTAAAAGACAATAAAATCGTCGGAGTTTAATGATCGAGAGCGCGAAAGGTGCGGCTGAAATATCCGTGGGTGACCGTCCTTAAAACGGCCGGTGACAAGAGGAGAAAGGTTAGCTGATCCTGACGGCCCTGAGCCGTATCCTCGGACCGTTCGATTCGTATAAGGTCAGGGCTGGCCGTCTGACAAACGACTACTTAATTCGAAGATGCATTCCTCAGTTACATATTACTAAAAACAACTTTCACGGATAAAAGAAATCCTCCGGTGAGATTCCGAAGATCGGGGGAGTGGAGTCGCGTTTTTTTAGCGCAACGGGCAGCGATAAATTAGAGACGATATTTTTCCTGCGAGATGTTCCTTTTTTTCTTAGCGTTCATCCGATTTAAAACCTGCTGTATAAATTCCCTCAAAGTGCAGGACTGTTCACGACGCGGAGGAGCGCGCTCGGGATTTGTCAGCTGCCACCGTAATTAGCTCCCTCTCGAAAAGGCAATGGGATTACGAGCGGCGCAAATTGAGTCCGTAGACTCGGTCGCGATAAGACGTGACGCGAATTAATCGGAATGATTGAAACGCGCCGACCGCTTTGTTGTTTAGAACGGGTGAAGGAGCAAACGAGCGTTCAAATCTCTGACGCCAGCATTGACGGAGCGCGCGTCAACGATCGTGTCGTATTAATTAAGTGCGATTAATTCCGCGCATAATCGTCGCCGGTAAGTTACGTTCTCGCTATTAATAGTGGCAACGAGATGCCGGTGTTGCAACAGCAGTTGCAACGTATTCAGGATGTTATATCGCTGTTTATGATGCCGACGCGGCACTTTTCGGGCGTGTTTATACGATCGAGGTGAGTTAACATGTGGCTCAGCCGTTATGCTTCAATAATCGAGCACAGCGCGATAAAATTCGCAAAGAGACGGCTGCTCCCGATCGCTCCTAAGTGCGTGCATACGTAATGAAACGGCTTGGCGACTGATATCAGCCGACGTTGAATCTGACAGAATTTTCATCGGACCGCTTTGAAGTTAAATTCAATCTCCACTTCAAGTACCACTACGCGCGGGATATAATTTCTGACAAAATATTAATTGATAAGGAGGTTATAACGTCATTCTTATACTTGACAGTGCCTGTACATTTGCTTTTTCTTATCTAGTTTTCATTCAACATGTTTGATCTGTTTGTAGCAGATAAATGTTAACGTCTGATGAGGCAATCTCCATGCAAGTTGATACGACAGCGTATTACAATCACTTACTTTATAATACTTGATTAAAACCACTATATAAAAGTAAATTTTGCTTCGAAACCAAAGATCGTCCAACCGAGTCGAAATTTTAGTCCTATTTTAAATCTATTTTAGTTTCACATTAAGCGTCCATAGATCTTCTGTTGTGGTCCTTTGATGCTACAAATAGGAAAGTTTTCTCTCCTCGAAAATTTAATTTAGAATTTAAAATCTCGGGCAGACTATATTTAAAGGGCTTCCGTACTCTCCTCTGTCTCCGAAAGCACTCGTGGAAAATTGAAAATCCGCCGTGAGAAGTCGTTTTTTCCAGAGTTCCCCTTTTCTCGCAATCGTTTCTCGCGGAAGATGGAACGCGTGATAATCGATCGTACGTAATGTATTATGCATTTTCACAAAATGCTATCCTCTTTTACAGCCGACGATTGGTATCAGGTGTGTGTAGGTTTATGCGAGCGGAAAATAAGAAGGCGGATGTAACAAACGTGCGAGCGAAAACCTCGACGCATTGCCCGTTCGAGACGTCGCTCGCGATTATCTAACGTCGTGTCGTCGGAAACGCGATCACCGGAAGTTATCGACGTTTTATTTCTGCGTTACATGCTCGGGCAAAACGCGATTATTTGATTCGCGCGAACGTGCTTAGGTTTCCAGCGAACAAAGTATTTTATTCTCCTAGAAAGAACAAAACGGAACTATACAGAGAAAAATATCATTCTACCGCTGAGAAAAGCGAGTATTACTTACCCTAAGGAAAAATATATAATAAAAATACGTATAAAGCCACATTTGCTATACCATATGACGAATACACATTAGTCTCATTTGACATTGTGGTATCGGACAGAATATCCCCCCATATCTCCGTTCTTCAATCGCGACGTTTTAATTAGCCGCTCCCGGGTAATCTACTTTCTAAGCTCAGGCATGAGCGAGCGTTCGAATTATAAAATCTAAACGTCGATTTCTTTTTCCCGAGCGCGAGTTCTTCCCTTTTCTTTTTTCTTTCTCGCCGAGAGCGCGCGTTCTGTATTGCGCGTGGCACGATAACAATTCAGGTGTAATGCAATCATTCAATGACGATGATTTACGCGAACACGGGATATTGCTTTCGCCACGCTCTTCCCACTTTGGAAACTAACGGCCGATTCTCTCGTGTAATTAAATCGTTACGCGAATAGGGTTTGAATATATGAAAATCGAGGTTTTCGCGCGTTGTTTTTTCCTTATTGCCGGTTAACAATACGCGCTCACATAATACTTGCATAAAAGAAATCGATATCCAATGTACGCAACCTGAGAATGTTTCTCGTCTTCCTTTCTCCGACAGTTGTATCCGATGGATACGTTCAGGCGTATCGCCGTTGCTATACGAATTTTCCCTCCTGTCAATGTTTTCTATGTGCTATTAGCCAAGTGCTAATGAAAGAAAAATTGCTTCAAGAAGCAGAGGAAGATAAGTATGTATCTGTGAGATACATCTTGAGTGAAAAATATTAACGGAGGATTACTTTTTCCCGCAAATAAATAAATTTCCAGAGAAGGCAAGTAATAAATCATCGACCGGGGAGGAATATTAAAATCCGATCGAGCAGAATTTTTTTTGCGCGAATCGTAACTCGAGATCTCTTGCGATACGTAATCGAGCGTAAGGAAAAAAAAAAGAAAAAACGTGAGAAAAATGTCCGATCAGAGGATACTCCGAAGGAGGAGTTATCGATCACGCGCTAGCCACGTGCTGCTGCGATCCTTCCTCCGCGCGTAATCACGCCTTTTATATGCCTCTCTCACGTTTTCTCTCCTCGATACAAACCTTTTTCGCGACTCTTCCTCGCGTTTTGTCCCGGCTGGCATAAATTCTCTTTTCTTTCCTTCTTCCGCCGGCCGTGGAATCCTTAAAAACGAACGTTTCTCTTTTCTCTCTTTGTTCGCTCCGCTGTATTGTTTCCTTTTTGCTCGTTCGCGCGTTGCCGCCTTTTCTTTAGCTGGATTCAAAACACACCGCGAATTAGTTGGCAGGGGATCGCGTTTTGTCCCGTATCGCGAAAACTGTTTTGCATTCAATTACCACGGAATCTCGAGAAAGACTCGCGCAAGCGAGCCGAACGAAGACGTTCTCTTTTTCTGCCGATTGGAGAACACGAGCCGTTAATTTCAACTTTTCCAGTAAGAGAAGTATCGATATGATCTTTTCCTAATTAAGGTGCCTTTACATAGGAACGTCGAGCGTGAAAAGGCGTGCGTAGTGATGTATAGCGAATCGAAACTGTAGATCAATCAGCTGATTATACACGTGAAGATGACTGTTAATTATTTGAATTATTAGTGGGATGTATCGTGATTTTAATGAAGAATTTCAAAAGGTAGAGCAGAATTAACATGTAAATTTAGGTTACAATATATCGTTAATGACGTATATTTTGTTTAACAATAGAACGAACGAACAGTGTAAGTTGAATGTACTGATTCGCGCGAACTTTTTTGAACGTGAAAGGGCGTTCTGTTCTTACACATTTTCCAAAGATTTTGCGACAACGAACTTTATTCATTCATATATAAAGCACTTGTGCCAACTCACAATTACGTTCGCATGAAAGAAAAGCAATCAGTCTGGCAAAGCGGCTCGTGCGTGAGCTTGCCATAAACGAGGCGGATCGTTGATTCGCGCAATCGCGCTCCTGCGATAATCTCATAAATTCCCGGTGTAAAGTGGAGCAGCCGTGGAAAAACCGTTGAATTTTCTCGCGGCGAGAAATTCCGCCCAAGATCCCTGCACTTTCACCGATGGTTAGAGAGACCTCGATAATGCTTTAGCATCGACTTCGCGCCAAGAACGACAAACGAAGCGAAAGTGAAACGTTATTTCCCCGGTCAGTTAAGATGATACTCGACAATTTTTCCGGACGATTTTCCCAATGGAACAATGATTACAGCGGTGGAAAGCGTAACTCCGCTCCGTACATTTTGCAAAGTGCAACTTTTAACACGATGCAAACGGATAGCAGCCGATTTAATTCGAATGATTTCAGATAATCGGCCCCATAAGCGTAATTAACCTGATTTGAATTTCTCACTTTTACCAGGATGTAACGGGATTGAAAGAGCAAATTAAATGAGTTCCTCGTTGTTACGAAGCGATACCGAGAGCGCCCATCGACTTTCTCGGACGGCTAAATTTTGGTATCGCTCGTACCCTTCACGGGTATCCGCTTCGCGGTTTTCCTTCCGGACGGATTCACAGGGGCGAAAAGTGTAGCATCTCTTGGCTATGTAAGGCGCGAAAAGGAATCCAATTATACAGAACGTGTGCTTCCTCTCGGTTCGCTAAACTTTGTAAATATAATTTCCAAACCGGTGGAAGCCGCATAATCTCAATTTCCAGTGAAGAAAATGCGATTTCCGCAATTCCCGGAGATACTTTCCAATCGTCTGTTTTTCTCGAATTGCGCTATATTACCGCACAATTTCTTTTCCTTTCCTACAACATTCCGATTGGAGTGGAACCCAAAATTGTCCGAAAATAAATTATCCGAATCCCAGACACGGGGAGGAGAAGGCTTCTTTTCCGTCAGAATCGCACGACAGTTTGTGATATGAAATAATGGAATTTGAATGGAAACGTCGATCCAACGAAACTTACTTTTCGGTGTGACGGGAAAATGACAGATCGAAATATATAGCGCACTGATTTCCCCCTGGTCGCAGAGAACACGAGGAAATCCCAGTTGACGCGAAGCCAAAGCGACCGGTCGTTCAGCCGGCCGGAGGTCTCGGCGGCCGACGTGCTCTTCTCGGACACGATGCGCCTCAGCCTGTGCAAGAAGATCAAGGAGCCCGCAGTACGCAGTACGTGCGAGGACAACGAGGTCGTCGAGAAGGAGGCGGATATTTCCGATACCGAGCACTTTCGTACGATGAGACCCACGAGCTGGTCCCCGCCGCCGGGTAGGCATCGCTTCAAGATCAGCGACTCCGCCGCTCCGGAGACCAGCTCGGTCAGGGATCACCGCAGGACGATTTCGTCGGCGTCGACCGCCTCGTGGAACTCGAGCAGCTCCTACGGCTCGTCGAAGATCGAGATCGGCTCTCCGGAGAGCAACGTCTGCAAGATCACGGTGAGCCCGCTCTCGTCGCCACTCGTCCATCGTCTGCAGATCGGGCCGGATGCGAGGGGCGGCCGAAGAACCTCCATCCTGATCAACGGCGATCAGAGCGAAGCGGCGCAACCCGGCAACAAGGTGACCATCAGCGTCGGCGGCGAGGACAGCGTGTGCAACCCGACGGTGATCTCCGTCAATTCGGAGAACCCGCCGAAGATCCAGAGCTCCGTCGAGAACCGGACCCTGGTGATACTCGATAATTACAGGTCGAACATCGTGGTGGAGCCGACGGACAGTTTCGAGAATGAGACAAAGGCGAACGAGGAGACCTTGAACATGGAGCCGGAGAAATTGAAGAGACTGAGCGTAGAGATCAGCCAGTCGCCGAGACTGTTGTACGACGAGGAAACCGCGAAAACGCGGCTCAAGGACGTCGAGGGAACCACCAAGCTGTCGAAGGAGGCGCTCATTTCTAAGCTGCTCGAGGACTCCTTGCGGAAAGCCCGTGAGAACGGCGAGATTCTCGACGAGGACAGCGGCGAGGCGATCCTCAAGATCCTGAAGCAAAGTCTGCTGAAGAGCAAGGAGTACGAGAGCTCCGAGTCCACCGTGGAGGCCAACTACTCGAGATCGTCCAGCTTGAACTCGGACGGCGACTTCATCTCGACGAATCTTTTCCTCGAGGAGAATCCCTACGAGGTGATCAAGGAGCCGATCTACGAGGAGATACCGGACGAGCCGCCGCCGCTGCCACTGAGCCCGCCGCCGACGGAGGACTACATCAAGGATCGGATCTACTTCGGCGACGTCGATTATTACAAGAAGGTCGCACCCGGCCAGTTCCTCGGCCCGTATCTGTCCGAGGAGGTCTTCAAGAAGTCCAACTCGGAGGACTTGGCTGAGACTTACTTGTCGAAGAGCCCCGAGGACTTTTTCAAGAAGATGTCGCCCGACGACGAGAACATCTCCACCAAGTTCGAGCTGCTGAACTTCCTCATGGGTTCCAAAAATCGTCCAGCGGACGACGACGACGACGACGACGACGACGACGACGAGGAGGAGGAGGAGGAGGAGGATGAGGGGGACTTGGAAGCTCTCTATGAGCAGAAGGAGACCAGCTTGGGCGATCTCAGCTCCAAGAGTTCGCAGATCTCCAATGTCTCCGACAGCAGTGAAGAGTGCAACATCATCTTGACCAGCTCGCCGGAGACGTTAAAAGCGGTGAGTGGTTATCGCTTGACGGAGATCCGATACTTTCGAAAATATGCGTAAGATTCTCTCAACATTTTCATTCCGTTTACATTTTGCTAGAATATTAATTATTCAAAAAGAAAGTTCTTTCCTCGAATAACAAGATCGGGTCTTCTTCCGCGTATTAACATATTTTATTTACTTTTAAATATTTTCTAACTTGTCGTTATGCACGAACATAAAATCAACCTTCTATCAGCAAGAAGAAACGTGACAAGTAATTTCTCAGATTAGTATTATTTTGCATCGGTATAATTGGCTCGCGTAAGAGAAGAAAAGGAACATAGGTCGTGCTAATTAGGATCGGTTCTTGCAGTCGAGAACGGTCGACATCGAGAGAACCGACAGCGGAGTCGGTTCAGAGAGCAGTCAGGCCAGCAGCACTCGCGGTGTCGCGAGGCGCTGGCGGACGGGCAACGTCTCCTCGGGGAGCCTTCTCGGCGGTATCCCGCAAGTGATCTCCGGCGCTACGAAGCTTTGCGAAGATTGCGAGCAACGGCTGGATCCTCTGATAACGGACAGGTAAGTTCGATGAAACCATTTCGGCGCTACCGAGAAACCGTCCCTCCAGGAAATATTATGATCCGATAATCCTTATTTATCGCGTCGAAGAAAGACGGCGTTCTACCGTGAGGATTTATTAAGCGGGGGATTATTTAAACAATCGTTAGAACAAGTGTGCCTTCGAGAAACGGTGATTGAGGAGATTTCTCGTCTCGGAGAGGCCTCTCAATAAATTTCTTTCCCATACATTTATTTCGCTAACTGAATAATAAACAATAAGTGTTAATTTGAAACGAAGCTGGGGTAAATATATACACGCAATATTACAAATAATATTTTTGCTATATTATCCCAGCAAACATAACAATGATGAAATTTGCTTATAATATATTAACATTACAATAGTTTTTACAAATATATCAAATTAGAAGGAAGCATTAAATAAAGATGATGAAAATTTCCCCTTTGTTAATTCGATCAGTCGCATATATTACAAGTTTATCTTATATTTGATCAAACGTTAGAACCTCCCTAACGTTATTTCATCTCTCCACTTTTTTCACTCTCTTACCTTTTCTATTTACCTATCTCGCGCGAGACACATACTTAACATATGAGCGATATCTCAGCGGATACGTCGCATTTTACAACGGCCGTCCCGTTCGTTTCCTGAAAACTCGTCCCGATGCGACGTCCTAAATCGTTATCACTACTAGCAGATAGCGTTCGGAGAGAGAGAGAGAGAGAGAGAGAGAGAGAATATAACGGTGCCTGTCGGTGGAGCGTGTCTTCCACAGCGGCCGAGTTTCGACCGTGAGAGTTTCGGCTGCACGCGGGATTCCTCGCTCGACTCGTCTCTCCGAGCGATAAACTTTTCCGCGCGAAATGCTCCGGTCTTTCCAGGTGGCGACGATTCACAGCGAATGCCGTTTTGTTACGGTCACATCCTCCGCCGGTTCAATCGTTTCCCACGCCGAGCGTTTCCCGCCGAATTGACCGGCGCTCGAGAGCGTTCACCGCGCTGGAAAGTCCCGTTCGATTTCCTGAGATATATCGGAGCTAATTAAAATGCAGAAAGCATCTAGAGTTCGCACCTCGGAGAACTCGCGACTAGATTACGCGAGACAGACCACTTTCTCCCGTTATCGATTTTATTTAGCCGAGAGCGAAAGTGTCGTTAACGACGCTCGATGAATGGATAATGTCTGACTGGCGTTGCGATTTGTGAACATTTTCAAGCATTTGTTCACGCTAAAGATTCATTCTGGTAGCTTCACGTCTGATTAGAGTCGCTCGATAAGGTCTGCGTTATATCTCTTGCAGTGGCGTGGTTTACGCGCCTTTCGTATGCAGGAAGTGCTCGAAGAAGCGGGCGGAGCGCAAGGAGATCATCACCGAGATCGTGGAGACCGAGCAGAAATATGGCAGGGACCTGCGGATTATCCTCGAGGAGTTCCACCGGCCGATGCTGCGAGCGGGCCTCCTCACGTCGGAGCAATTGTCGGCGATCTTTCTCAATGTCGAGGAGCTGCTCGAGCACAACCTCGTTTTAGCCGAGAAGCTCAAGGACAGCGTGGAAATCGCTCAGGTGAAGTACATTTCTGTTCTGATCGCCCGAAAAGTTCGGTTGGATTTTTCTCAGATGCGACATCGATTAAGCAACAATCTACCGTATTGACGAGGAACGTGGGTGAAGGATCGTATTTCTAAAATCGCGTAACTGTATACATACATTGCAAAATGAATGAAAACAACCATATTTTTACGTCGTTAAAACGATTTTACCTTAAAACCGGATTAATGAGTCGTTTCAAAAATAGATGTATTTATACATTATGACTGTGTAATCATAGACGACAGAAATCAACGATAATGTTAATGGTGATGAATTAGTTATAAATAGAACAAATGATCCCCACTGAATGCAACAAAGTGAAATTCGATTGATTGAAAACTTGTTAACGTTCGGTCGAGCAGGTATCCGGGGATGAGGATCTCCTAACCGTAGACGTGGGCAAGATCTTTCTCGAGTCGGAGAGAATGTTGCACGCATTCGAGAGCTATTGTACGCGCCAAGGCGGCGCCAGCCTGCTGCTGCAAAACTTGGAGAAGGAGAAGGAGCTTCTTCGCATCTTCCTCAGGGTCTCTCAAATGGAGAACACGGTCTTGCGAAGGATGAACCTGAACTCCTTTTTAATGGTAAGTTTCCATTTAATTCTCGCAGGACATCTCCGTCAATTCATTACCTTTTAGGTTCCTGTCCAAAGAGTCACGAAGTACCCGTTGCTGCTGGCACGTTTGCTCAAAGCGACGCCCTCCGTTCGACCGGACATTCAAGAGGCGAAGAAGAGACTCAAGCAGGCTCAAACTAACATCGAACTACACTTGGAACATATGAATGCTGTGAGCGAATTGCATTTCTTTTATACGTAATCATTATAACGCGCGCGAAGATAAATGTGGATGATCTCGGCGATAGGAAGCGAAGGATGTCACGTCGACGAAGCTGTGGAGGAGAATATCGATCATCCAAAACGGCAGACGGTCCATCGGCGAACAGGACATGGTGAACATCAAGCTGAGAAAGGTACTCTCCGTTTGAATTTGAATTCTTCGAGCCACGGCTGATGTTATCGTTAACCCTAGATGGCCGTCGAGATCCTGGAATGGGCTCACGAGGAGGCCAGGTTTGTTCTCGAAGGCCGCCTTCTGGTGGCGCAGCCGACTGACAATAATTGGAGGCGCGGTCGAACTGTCAAACTCGCGCCCGTCACTGCCATGCTTGTTACCAACGGCAAGGTATTGCTATCGCAAGCGGCGTGTCTTGCGTGCTCGGTAAATGAGGCTTTTCCTTTTCAGCCGAATGCCGAATATCTCGAACTCAACGACGACTCGCTCTTCCCGAAGCACATAAGCATTAAAGAAGCCACCCTGCTTTTGGTCAAAGAGAAACTCGGGCGATATTCCTTGCTACGAGTGAGTCGTATTATATCATATTCACCTTCTCATCGTCGAGTATTAATCATTTCTTTTGATATTATCGTCGCATCATTTCAGGAGCCATTGTGCCTCGACAAGTGCATAGTGTGCTGTGAAACGGATCTCGAAGATTACTTCGAGATACAGGAATTGTCTTCCAAGGAGACGTTTATATTTAAGGTAAGCCCGCGTTATACGAGACTAAAAGATCAGCGCGTTAGAAGAAAGAGTTTTTTGGAAAATAATCCTTATAGGCGGAGGACGGCGCGAGAACGAAGAGGTGGTGCAGAACGTTGCAGGCTCACGCGCAGTCTCTCGGTGCCTGGCGCAAACGTCGAGGAGCACTTCCCAACATCATGATCTGCGGCGTGGCGAGGAATTAACGCAGTTAGGCGTATGTACGTGCCTGACGACCGATTAGAGAGAGAAGATGATTTTTCCACTGAAAACGATCGTGCATGATCTCCAGATGAATTAGTAATGATTTATTCGGGAGAAAGACAGAGAGATACGCTGGACCAAAGGATTTCCTCGGCTCGTCGGCGAGCGACACGAAAGTCTAGTTCTTGACCGAATTCGGGGTAGACCACCTGTGTTCGGTTACAGTGCGTAGCAGAAACTCGAGTTTCCTATGTCACTGTAATTAAGAAGAATGTATGCCGCGAATATACAACTTTCATCCGACATCCATCGATTCCTATAAACGAATAACCTAAGTACATAATATATGTTTGCATATACGTATAGAACTATTTAAAGAGAAGATACACCTATGGATTATTATTCATCAAAGAGAAACGAACACACGACGAGTAGTAGCTGTGATATCGACCGGTGTATGGGGAGGGGGGGGGGGGATCCTTTTCGCAAATTATTATTTCGCGCGCGGGTATCCTCGCCTCGTTGACCTTCCATCCTGCGCGACTCTTAGCGTGTCGTCCCATGTAGAACCGATAAACGCAACAGAAGAGTAGTAACCAATCGCGTCTGTCATTCCACTTTAACGGCCGTTTTTTCCCATTCTTCTGCGGAAAACCCCGAAAAGTTCCGTGGAAAAAACGTTTCTTTCACGTTTATTTTGCGGAAAGAAAAATTGAAGAGAAAACCCGGTTTTCCGAGTCTTTGAAACTGCAGAAAAAGCACTTTTTTTTAATCAGTTAATATAAAAAAAGAATCTCCCGAGAAAAATATATGAATGTAGTAAATTAAAAAAAATTTTTATACAACTTGAGTGCAGTTATATTGAATTAATAAAAGTTCTTAATAAGAGATTAGAATTTTCTTTCCTTTTTCCGTAAAAATATGCTCCACGTGAAATCCAACCATTTGAGGTCGGAACGAATTGATATTATACAAATAATAACGAATATATACAAATGACATTCTTTTGTCTAATTTTTCTGAGATACATATATTCTTTCTGATTGGTTATTCCCCGCTATATCTTTCTCGCTCTACATGGAACGGCACCCTTACCAGTGTTGCAGAAATGAAATTAGCAGGGTAGACTTTTCACTAAATCCGAGGTAATATAGGGTTCCCGGAAGTATAGTAACGGAGAATTCGAGAGGATAACAGGGTGACGTGCCGCAATTCTATGTATACGCGATCGAGCATTGTGAGAATTCGTGAAACCTAGGAACACTCGTTTTCTTCTCCCTTCTGTAATTACACTCCTACGGGATGATTAACAGTATTTTATTTTACCACTCCTAACACACCCGCAAACTACGAATGTGTACATTGTACGATACTTTTTATTTAAGCGCTAAGCCATACGTGTATGTATATAAATGTATATTTACAGACGTCCTCACACGTCCAACAGTTCTAACCGGAAAAATTCATTGTAACGAATTAATTTGCTCCATTACACAATGCTGCGATTTAATAAAAGTGATATAACACGCGTGTACTCGAGTGTATAAACCACCAGTCTGGGACAACTCGCTTGTTCCTCTTCACATCTCCGTGTAGTCCTCGACCACGACGTCTTGCGTCTTCGTTATTGGTAGTACGCGTCGAGACGAGCGATAATTGTACGTTTCGAGCTCCGGATGCTTCTCAATGAGATACTTGTAAGCAGTAGCTAGTCTGTCGATGTCTACCACAGAGAGTTGCGTGGGCTTGGTGTCCGGGTTCAGATCGGCTAATTTGTACATCATCAAGGCCAATTCTTTGCGGCAGTACAACGGGAAGAGAGTCCTGTCGGGAAGAGGAAGAAGAAAGAGATGTTCGCTTATAATTTCATTCGTTGCTCTTATAGCCGTTCTACAATTGCGTAAAATATAGTAAACCGACCAATTGGATTCTTAACAGTCCAAGAATAATTTACTGTGGTTGGTCAATTGGTTTACTCACCAAAGTTAGGTAACGTTGGAAGTTAATTACGCGAGACTATATATACAAACCACCTAACTATTCTTCTTCGAAACTATATTTTTGTTTCGGTTTAACTAAATTAATTGTACAAAAGAAGTTGGTTTAGCCAACCTTGCGCATACTTTAAGCTATTGTGGAACGGCCTTTATAGTCAACGGACTCACTCGACGCATCGTACGCTGTGTTTCTGTCTGAAGCTGAACACGTGCCTGGTGATCTTCTCGAAGAATTTGAAGTCGTGCTGCGTGCGCGGCTTCACCAACGGCGTGAACGACACCACTCCCACGTCCACGTCCGGCTTCGGGACGAAATTGCGACCTGCGAATTGAATGTTACTAACCACCCCATTTTCGTCCTATAAATCGAGACGATCGACAACTTACCAGGTATGATGAAACGGAGCACCGGGAAGGTCCAGGCCTGCGCCATTACCGACAGCCTGCACCGTTGTGCGCTCGACTCCGGTGCGATCAGACGTTCCGCCACTTCCTTCTGAAACGTCAATGTCATTTTCGTCCTGCCGAACGCCCAGGCATCCCGGCGCTCGGCGATCGCGTGCAGCCATTCGATGATGAGGTGCGTCGACACGCTAAACGGCAAATTGCCTATGAGGAAGATCTCCGGAGACTTGCCATCCCAGTCCATCTTTTTCTCTTTCGGGAATAAGTTCTCCATGCGCATCCTTTTGATATCGTCGAATATTATATCCATCGGCTTGTTGACCACCTTGAACGAGTCCGCCAGCATATTCAAGGTCGGCTCGAATCTCTGATCCTTTTCCACGACCACTATACGCTGCGGGAGCTGCTTCATGATGGATCGAGTGAGTCCACCCGGACCGGGACCGACTTCCAACACATGACTATTGGCGAGATTCCCCGCCTTCCGTACGATCTTGTCGCATATGTTTTGGTCCAACAGGAAATTTTGAGACAAACGCTTCACCGCGTTCAAGCGGTATATCTTTAATATGTTTCTGATCGACGGGAGCGGTGGTAATCGTGGAGCGGACATTCTTCCTTGTATCGTCGTATTTAGAGAGAGAAACTAATGCTGCGTGAATTTGCTACTGATGGCTATAAGGCTTGTAAAAGTGTGAATTGTCAGGAATCAACTAGGACTTTCTTTATTCGAATTTCCACCCACGATTATTTTATGCCTTCTCGATCGTTTTCTCGGGTTTCTCAAAATCGTCCAAGAATCTTTCTTGCTTAAACGAGTACATCGTATATATATAAATCCCTATGGCAGTAAGACTTGCCACAATTGCTGTACGATTATTGCCCTTGCGAAATCCTTGCATCCTATGAACTCTTTTCACGTTCTCCTCCTCCATGCGTTTCATGTAAACCACATCCGTGGATTTGAACCTTGAGACATCTCTCAGCAAGTCAACTTTTGGCATAGCCTCATTTTGATCAAGTCGATTCTCTGCAGACAAAATAATTAATACCACATATATGAGTAAAACATTGTATAAAGTATACAACTTGAATCATTCACCAGAACTCATTTCCACACACCGGCACCCTCGATCAATTTCAGCTCTTTTTCTTTCAGCCTGTAAGGCGTTTGCTCACTCGTCAATATCTGTCGAACAGATATATATAGTTATTATAGTATAAGTTTCAATTTAAAGTACAAAATACAACGTATATAGTTAAATATTACAAATAATATTTTTGAGCGAAAAATTATGTAATAATTACTCGCGTCAAAGGCAATTCTTATCTTCAATAGACACAGGTTAGGTTTCATCATCATGTAAAACGCAGAAAAAAAACATTATACATCGTAAATAAAAATTTAGCAACATTTTTAGTCAATGTTTGGACAATTGGAGGAACATAATATCATATTTCATTTAATATATGTTACATCTGAGATTGTGGCTTTTAGGTTAAGTTAGTTACAACTTCAATATCATGCCGACAATACGCATGACCATCATCTAACGTTAATTAGGCAACATTAAATATACAGTAATAATATTAAAATCTGCAATCATACATACGGTAAGAAATACAATCTTCCGATTCTTCACTTTGGATTGCCGGAATTCGCGATTGAAGGCAAGAATGAAAATAATCCGTACTAAAGTGCAACAGAGGAGTCCATTTTGAGTGTAAACTGTGTGGCGCCGATTTTAAACTGTCGATGTATCTGTCTTTAAAGCTAGCATCTATATAGTAAGCACGTCTTTGTCATTAGTAACAAATATCAAAAGATACCAAAATGTATAAAAGATTTTTACTAACATAATATGTCTCTTTTTAGGGAAACAATCTTTTCTACAATTATTCAATTCTGGACAAACAGGTCCCTTAAATGAAACATTATTTCAATCTCAAAATTGTCCCCGTATACTCATTTATTCTTTGATATAGTGGATATTATATGAATTTTAGTTAATTTCGGAAAATTAAGAAAGTATAACAAAAAAAAAAAAGAAAGAATCGCAATAGACGTTAGTAGATTACAGAATATTAATTTTAATCGAAATTATGTTACACTGTTGTCTTACATGAATTGTAATTCATACATAATTTCTAAAGCGATAGTATATAAGATCATCAGAATTAAAATATTTACATAATCGTGCATTAATATCTGCTCAAATGATATTTTATCGTAACTTAGCGGAGACTCGAATCCTTTTTAATCGAAGCTCAGACTCTATTCAGCTAAGATTCAAACCTCATGTAATTGGAGTTTTCCGCGATTCGTTAGATAGCACCAGGTAGTCCGTTAGGGATCTGTTATTTCAAAGTGTAATTCCTAAAATTTCATTATTATTATTAGAATCAAAATTGTAATATGACAAGTCGGATCTAATCTCTAAATCTCTAAAGGAATGATCCGATCTCGGCTCAGAAAACTGTCAACAATTGCAAAATAAATGTTCTGCTGAATGCGACCAATAAGATGATGATTCAAAGAGTAATTTTGCAGCTTAAAGTTTCAAATTTTTAGTTGTATTAAAGAAATATGCCGGTGTTTTTTTTTTTTATGATATGTCAAGATTATAATATATCAAATTGTGCTTAGCTTTCACATGAAAAATTTATTTTTACCGAAAATGCGAGATATGCACTTTAAAGAGGAATTCGTTAAGATTTTTACTGAATTGTTTTAAATCCACCATCTCATTGTTTGTTCTCAAAGTTACAGACCGTTGAATGTTGCTAATTTGCCTAATGCGACTAATGAAAAATGCGAATATCTCTTAATGAGAAACGTTTACGTGCGTATACACATAGAAATCTGCGGATGTCTTGATATTATTGTACGACGCGTAGGATCCCTGCGCTCTCCGCAGTGAACTATGAAGCGTACAAAGCATGCTTTAGAGGCCTGCACAGCATAGAAGCGACATAATCGGAACTACATCGATCAGCGATATGATATTCAGAAGAGATCTATTTCCTCGTAGTATAATGTGCTATTGTACAAAGTAGTCTATTCATTGTCAGTAACTGTGCATCTATAGTGTTCGCCGCCGCCGCCGTCGTCGTCGATCGATCGGCTGCTCCTTTTCCAGAAGAGCCTGACAGCGCTCTCACTCGGTACGTTAATAACGACGTGCACGCGTGGAATTCGATAGATTGCGAGCGATCCGCCACTGAAACTCTCGACGTACACAATCGGTGGCTCGCGAGTGGATTAGGCGGCTCGGATAAATTTTCAATCGGATCGCCAAGCTCCTCGCAGCTTGACGTTGCAATTATGTTTCGTCATAAATATAAACATTCATCATTACGAATGAATGCGTGCGTATTCTACCTAACGCCGATAAATAATTTGGGAGAGAATGCGATCGAAATATTTAACGCACCGTATATTTTCGCCGACTGCACGAAAATCATGATTGTGTTATCAACGATACGGCAAATGAATGAGACGTATATATCTTTCACTTTTCGTTTTATTGACTCTTTATTTGCCGTAGGATACATTTTTCAAATGCAATTGTACACGGAAGAAACAATTCTGTTGGAATTTTCACTCGTCAGTGGAAATCAACGTTCATGCATCAGACACACGAAAACAGTACGACATTTCGGTGGATTTACGAGCGCTGCCGCTTTAGTTTATAGTGTCCGGCTTGCCACCGACTGATTTGTGATCTCGGCGAAAGAGTTACAATGCCGACCTGTCACTTCCGAATCTTATGCCGCACCACTCAAGTCCCGAGCTGCATTCCAGATTTTACAGCCGCTCGAGAGCGTTATCGGGAGTATGAGAGAGAATAAATCATGGTTTGTCGCGAATTAGGAAATTGTACAGTCATAACTCGACGCCCGTTTCCGTTTTAATTCATTGGCGTCCTATTTATATGGAACTCTTCCTTTTTACTAAGTAAGTAAAATCGCTTAATAAGTGTATTTCAATCAACTACTTAACTACTTTTAAATATGTTTACATTTTAACTACCAGCCTGTCGAGTCGACGTGAAACAAAAACCAATCTCTTTGCCGCTCATTTATTCTCGATTAAAGTACTGATGTCTTCTAGTGTTAAAAGTGTTTGCGAAATAATGCTGGCTTTTAATGGATTCAGCACCTCGCGATTTTGCGTTGCGTTGACACATTCGTCGCAAAAGAGAAAATAATGAGAAACAAGATCCCTTCGGGCGAATCGAGCGTAAATTAGCCTGTCGATGTGAAAATCGCTAATCCGAATGTCATCGCGCTAATGGTGATACGTAGGAGAATCCAACGGCACTCGTTGTAATCTCGCAGCTGCTGCTATCTCGAAACGTCAAACGCTTCGGAAATGCCGACGGCGCACCCCCGGCGCAAATTTTACTGCAAATCCGTTATTGCGGTATTCGCGCGGCATTATGCGGGCGAGAACGAGACAAAATTCGCGCTAACAGCTCGGCACCGATAATCATTAATTTCAAATCGTCGCGGAATTATAAACGTCACGTGCGAAGCACTGCTGACAGTACGCTGTCATTAGGGGATGCTCTTTCCTGTGTCCTGAATAGACAATTTTCCGAAGTACTGAAATCGATTTTCCCTGATTAGGAAATCTAGAAAGATTCGGATTATAGGTGTAACGTTTCAAAAGTGTGATTCTAAGTGTGGGAAAACAGATTCCACTTGTTCTGCCAAGCGTTTCTCTTATAATTAGAATAAGAATGGGATTCATAATTATTACAATATGTTACATTTATTAAGTTTGATCTATACTTGGGAAATATTTAGGAAATTTCTAATACGTTAATGATCTTGTTAACCGTACATTTGTTTGGTAATAATTAAAATATCATTCCAATTTTAACGACACTCAGGGAAAAGTATCTAAAAAGATCATTTTTTATCCACTGTTTCTCTCAAGATACATAAAAAGCAACATACCGTATGTTGCGCGAATATTTCATCACCCATCTGTTCGACCTTTTCTTCTCACCTGCTGATGACAAGCTGGACTTGAAATTTTGCCGAGCGACGAGTTTTCAACTGGCGATTCGTGTATCGATCGAGCTACCCTGGAGTCTACCCTGGGACGATCCATAATTCGCGACGGAATTCAGGACGGTATTCTATTTGTATCACAGAACGCCTGAGGAGAATCGGGGATATAGCTTTGTGTAAGGTGTGTGCAAAATGTTTCAGGCCAAATTTCGCAAATTACGGATTCGTCCGAGGCTGGCTTTAAAACGCGATTTGGGTTTACGAAAGGCCGTTTTTCTTGTCGATATTGCTTTTCTTATCGTGTCTTGGAAACTGCGACGATAAGCTCGCGAAGTGCAAGATTTGCGTATGCATGAGGATTTCGGAGTCGTATTAATAATTCAACGAGTATTTCTTTGCACAGCGCAACCTATTATCGATTTCTCCATAACGCCGTTTTGAAATTAAGCCTCAGTTTCGGAACGACTTTCTCCTTGGTGCTGTGGAAAATCCAAAATTTCAGAATGATTCTCAGCGATTATTCACACGGTGTGTCTGTTTTTTGCAAAACATGATCTGGTAACAACGTCGCGCTTCCGTATAAATATATTCATTCGTCGAAATTAAATAGCTGAAGATCGGGAGTAGGATTTTCGCGAGATTTATTTCGAGCGACTATTTGTACAGAACAGCCAAAATGCCACTCTGTGAAAAGTGCTTCAACCACATTATATATTTCTGCTACGGGACAGTGAATCTTTCACAGTGGAATATTAATCAAATAAGTTAAGTGAAAGTGAAAAATTAGTGAATACTCACTGATTATCGGTATAATGCTATTTTCATTGATTCGACTTAGGAGAGCGTATAAAAACTTCTCTCTTCTCATCTGAATTATTTATTCTGACATTTAGGTCGTGCGATGATTTATCGCATATAAATTAGCGTGTCTTCACCGCGACCGGTGAATTGTGATAAATGACGATTCTATTAAGGATATCGTTGACTCACTACGATTTACTATGCAACCACGTCAAACAATGCGACTCCCTCCTATCGAACGAAACGAGGTTGCAATAAACCACGTTATTAACTGCATAAGTAATTGATTAATAACGCAGATAATTAATTATTAAATGGATAATTAATTGCTCCTCGTTACTATCTCGTTGCTAGCGGAGCTGAGAACGATACGTTGTAATTGATATGACAAAAGTTCCCAATTACGCGCGGCTTCATTCATGCTATCGCCACGAGAATAATATGAAATCCGTGATATCAGGTGCAACGGTGGTTGTCATCATCCACGTGATGGAAAAATAGATACTATCCTGTGAAATGATTCGTGATAAAGTTCGGAATCGAAAATTCGTCAGAGGTAGTATCTTCGTCTTCGCGAAGGAAAAAATCAAGAGAGAGAGAGAGAGAGAGAGAGATGCGTTTGGCAATTTCGATCCTATTTTTCGATTCCACTCGATTGATTATCCCAGCCAGCTCAGGTAATATTGAGAAGAGAGGCCGGTTCTCGCCCGACGAAATTATTCTCAGCAGCCGGAGAGGCAGACGTCTTTAAAGTCCACGATTTCGCGATAGGTGATCGGAGGTACCGGAGAATAAGAGAAAATCGAAGAGCGCGATGTGCCGGCCTCTTCTGGCCGTGAAGATTACGGCACGAGAGAAAATTCATTCGTCGTTATAACATGCCTCGCTTTCTTCTCCGCAGAGCCGACGTTTTCGACTATGCTGATTTGATATACACAAAGCTGGCCCGTCCTTTTCCATTAATTTTAACCAGTTCTTTAGTTCAACAATTATTCTCGCACAATTATTCTTAACAGTTATTAGCGAATAATAACATAAAGTAACATGAAAATACAGCGTGCTGTCTCGTTGAATCAGACACGTTAATTCCCAGTGAATTTTTTCTCCCCCCTCCCAGCAAAATTTCGAATTATTCTATATTTATGAAATGCTCGGCGAAATTCGGGTCTACATTTATAATTCACCGTCAGTGCACTCGGGAAGAGAGATCTCGCGCCCCGGAAGCCCATTCGGATGCGAAAGAAACGACTACTTCGAGTAGTTCCGGTAGCGGTATGCAGAAGGTTCGTATCGAGCGCAAAGTGGATCCGCGTATTTCGTAGGATGGGAAGAATGAGAAACGAGGCTTCCGAACGAGAGCGGGATACTCCCGGCGGAGGAGGCGAATTTCATGCCATGGGACGATATTTTTTATTTATGAGGACCGTTAACGTACGAAGCCCCGAAGCTAAAGCCCTCGGCCAATATCTATGATAATGCACGATATCGTGTGACACGGCTTTCGACAACGACGACGACGACGAGGAGGAGGACGAAAAACACGTCACCTGAAGCCACCGGCACGGCGATTCGTCTGGAACGTTTTTGTGTTGCACAACGACGAATCATTTTTCAGGCGTTCCTTCATCTCGTTAGCCGTTTCCGAGAGGAGGAAAAGAACAAATTCGGAAGTCCACGAAATGTTAACTGTGAATAAGGGCTCGTTGGAGTTAACCGATTGAGATACACGACAATTTTACCAGGGTCAATATCGACGGGGATATAATTAGCTGTATTTTATTCGTTTCGATATTAATAGCACGAATGTAAACCGCCGAGAACTTGTTGAACGAACAACATCCCTATGTAAAATCTAATTGAACGCCTTTAGGCGTGTACACGTTAGATATACCGTGGTGTCTAAATTTATCGCCGATAATCATCGAATTCTAATTTTACTCGATATCAAGTATCGAAAAGATAATTCATTGTGAGGATAATAACGTATATCATAAGACCGCCATAAAGCCATGCATGCGTTTATTCAATTACTTCCTATTTAAAGGTAAGTATTTATCAAGAATAGGTTATCGGCAAAATTATAACACTCAATACATTACTCGAACGAAGATAAAGGAGGAGAATTCGTTCATTATCGAAAATTTGACTGCAACGCTCATTAATAAACGCTATCCCGATAAACGCAACATTTTTGTACATGATGGGTCACTCATGTAAAATCGGCCACTTCGGAAGTCTCTCGGCATCGGGACGAATGGAAAGGCGATTCCGAGGTTTAAGCACGCGAACCATTTCCGTGCTTTGCTTGACGCCGAAGTTATTCTTGACTCGTCTCAGAAATCGTTGTCTTTGAGAACTTCTCGCGCGCGGCTAAATCGCGGCGTTAAAACCGAGCGCCACGTGCCGACGAGCGTGAAAAGCGGGCTCCGTTCTTCGCGGCTCTCCGTCGTGCTCGCGAAAGCCCGATAGCCGATAGAACGAATAAACCACGTGACCTGGTTTAGAGAAGGAAGAAAAAATTAAAGGACTTACGGGCTTTGAAAAGAAAAAGTAACTCCACTTTTCTCGCAGTATTTTTTAATTAATTCCGTGTATCGCGTCTTTTAGAACAAACGTCACGATAACGCAATTATTATTTTGTT